AGGGTTGCCTTGATAGTATTAAGTTTCCTCATCTAGAGGTTTTTGGTTTGCAGACAGAGATGTTTATTTGCAAAGGGACTAGGTGAACAGAGAGGCGAAAGAGAAAAGAAAAAAGCACCTCCAGAGAGAATACTAGGAGGTGGGGTGTCTCTCGAAGGAAAGAGGGAGAGACATCAAAGGTTTGAGGAAGGATCTTGGGATTTTAAGCATTCCCTGACCCCTCCTTGTCTTCACCACTCAATCTCACTTTACAGCCAGCAGCCCACAAGCTGGGGTGATACAGTGGATGTCGCCTCGGGATGTGGATCTTGCTCCCCGAAACTGCAGGCTGAGTTTCTCTGGGAGGCAGTGGGGCAGGACTATTTTCTGTGCTGCGCTTCATCAGAACAGAGTCATTTATACTTTAATGGGATTATTTTCCAACTCAACAGTTTATCTCTCGTTCCATTTATCCCCTTGCCATCTGCTCCCCTTCTGTCTGCATGGAAGGCTAGTGGCTTTCTTTGTCTAAGTAGCTTTGTCAATCGCTTATAATTTTTCTTGTTGGGATCATAATATTTATTTTTCACAACAGACTCTTCTGGAGACTTAGGAATTAACAAGATTTTTTTTTCTTTTCCATGCAGTTCTTTAACCTGAAATTTGTGTTTCTTGGAAACATGTTATTTAAAATAATAGAAATAAATAAAAATGAATAAGCAACACTTTCCAAACCAACATGCTTTCCCGTTCTACTTGCTACTGGATAATCTAAACTTGTATTTTATCTAAAGGACTCTATTAAGTCAAGCTGGTTTTGATCACAAGGCATGATTCATGCCCCAGAAGTGGCCTGGCTTTCCACCAGCCGACACCCAACTCCAGGCAAACCCCACGTCCTGGATATGTTCATTTTTATTTATTTTCAGTTCCTTACCTAAATCTTCTTATCTTAAAGCCACCTATTTACTGTTTTTCAAAATTCAGGTTCTTCTCCATTCATTTTGGCATTTTTGATGACTAATTTATCACTTTCATCAGCAAAGCCGATGGTTTTTATTTACAATCAAATTATTTTAAATAGCAGGAATCTATCCTAGTGATTAAGATGCCACTAAGACACCTACATCCCATATCAGAGGACATAGGGTATTTAAGTCATAGTGTTACTCTTGAGGTATTGGCAGCAGGGAAATAAGAGTTAATGACTGAAGTATTTTGTCACTGCCACCTACATGGAGAGACCCACATGAAGCTTCTGGCTCCTAATTTTTCAGCACAGCCCAGTCCTGGCTGTTGCAGATATTTGGGAAGGAAATTAATAAATGGGAATTTTCTCTCTCCTTCTCTCTCCCTCTCTCTCTCTCTCCCTCCTACCTCTTAAATAAATACAAATTTTACAGAATATTCTTAACTTATCTCTCCAGTAAGAGGCTTTGATATTCCAATCTTATTCTAATGGCCAGAGCTCCAAGCACCTGTCAGGTGCCTAGTAGAGCTCCGACGAGCAAGTAAAGAAAGCCAGGATAGGAAAGCAGAGGTTGTGCTTGACTATGGAATATGATAACTGCCCTCACCTGACCTCAAAAAATCTATTAGGCCAGGACCTAGCCCTTGCCTGTTTCCAGTGTAACCATGGCACCAGCCATTACCTGGTACACACTGAATGTTCAAATGTGGATGAATGAATAACCTTGTTTCCTGATACATTGCACATGCAATCATATCAACAGAGACACAAAGGTATACTGGAGATAAAACAACATGAAATTGATGCTCAGACCTTTCTGAGCAATCAAAAGATTAATGTCATCTCATGATCATTTGTTTTATTGTCTTGAAGTCTCCTGTGGGATTCATGTCATTAACCTCATAGCAAGAACAACACAAGGGCCCAGCGCCGTGGCCTAGTGCTTAAAGTCCTCTCCTTGACCATGCTGGGATCCCATATGGGCGCCGGTTCTAATCCCGGCTGCTCCACTTCCCATCCAGCTCCCTGATTGTGGCCTGGGAAAGCAGTTGAGGACGGCCCAAAGCCTTAGGACCCTGCAGACCCTGCACTCGCGTGGGAGACCCAGAAGAGGATCTGGGCTCCTGGCTCTGGATCGGCACAGTACCAGCCGTTGTGGTCACTTGGGGAGTGAATCATCGGACAGAAGATCTTCCCTTCTGTCTCTCTTCTCTGTATATCTGACTTTACAATAAAAATTAATAGACCTTTAAAAAAAAAAGAACACAAGGCTATAGTGAGAATTAAAGAGATTACATGTGGAATCCTTGCCACAATGCCTGACAGGTAGTAGTAAAGTAAAGGCCAGTTGAGGGTCTGGCCTTTCCCTCTGGTGTAAAGGGATTCAGATCTAGAAAAGTTCCAGGTTTTCTGGCCTTGTGGCACGTGCCTCTGTGCCTCAGTGATCCAGTAGTGTTGTTTTCAGGTTCTGATGGGAGTCTCTTTAGGGAAGCAGGCAGGGTGTCCTCAACACACCATTGGCATTCCTCTGTCCCCACATTACAGGAGAGAGGTAGGAGGATGCTACACTCCATAATCAAAGCGATCCACATTCAACAGCTGTGGGAGTCATAGTCAAAGCAATGGTTAGATACCCTGTGGCGATGACTACAAGGTCATGCGCTGGTTCCCTGCCTCTTGCTTACTTATAAATAAGGGGCGGTTAGAAGGCTTGGAATCTAAACCAGGAGCCCACGCATCACTGGAATGCAAAGAAACTGTCCAAATCTTAAGGCTTCTTCTCAAAAATGGATGCTCACTGGCTTCCCACAGGCAGTCACACTAGCAGTCTCTGTTGGATAAGAGAATCAGTGCTCCATTTTGAGATGCACTCCAGGGTTTTGGTCTGGTCTGACCCTTCTCTGTGTGTTTGAGAAGGACTGAAAGCCTTGAAGCTGCATTTCATTTTCCCAAGGTCCACCTGCTCATGCTGGTGTCACCCTCACCTCCCCAGCCCTTCTCTTTGGCAACCGCCTGAGGCTATGACTGGCTCACCCATTAGCTCACCAGGAAGGAGGCAATTGCAGTCAATGGACAGCCCAGTTCCATCACCCACCGGCTGCGGTTTCTTTCCCACTCTGTGAAATGGAATAGAATAGCTGCCAGATGTCTCAGTGGGGAATCACTGAGTTGCATATAGGGATTGTCCCCGCATGGAATAGACACAGTGGCAGGAATAACCAGATGCTGGAACATCCGTTACGTTTTCCCATTTGGTCACTTGTGGATCCCTCCCTTCAGTCTGGATTCATTGACTCTGCATTTATGTCTCCACTTTCCAAATATGCTCTGATGCTTCTCAGCGACTCCCTGGAGGTGTCGCACTGCTGTTGAATAGCTCTGTGTCCTCTCGGTCATTTTGTGTAGCTCAGTGTCCCTGCTCTCCTTCCTCTTCTAGCTGGATCCTTCCTGTCTGACCTGCCTCATACGTGGTAGCCTCTCTACCTGATACGTCCTCCTCCATTGCCATCCCACTACTGTGGCTGCTTCTCTTTCATTAATTCAACACATATTTGCTGCTCTAGGGACTGAACCAGGTATTGGGGCTATCGCCCTGAATCACCCACATAGCTCCCTGTCTGCCTACATCATGGGGACAGGATGTGCAGGAAAGAGTGGGCTGTGTGTAAACTGTCCTGCTCGCGGCTAGGACCCAAACAACAAGTGGAGACACCATCTTAATGACTCTTGGGTGCCAGGTGACCCACTCTGCTTTTCCTGCACCCCGACTCCAGGGCTCCACTCCAACGGAACCCCGGATCCCGCACAAGGTCGAAACAAGTGCACGGGCATCGCTTCTTCCCAGGGATGCTGTTAAGGGGCAGTACTCTGGCCTGGCACTCACGTGACAAGGGCGGATCTTTGTTTCTGTGGATCTTGCCTTTCCAATAAAAACAAAAAAAAAAATTTTAAGATTTTATTTGTTTTTATTGGAAATTCAGATTTATAGAGACAAGAAGAGATCGAGAGAAATATGTTCTATCCTCTAGTTCACTCCCCAAGTTGCCACAATGGCCAGACCTGAGCAGATCAGAAGCCAGGAACCAGGAGCTTCTTCCAGGTCTCCCACTCGGGTACAGAGTCTCAAGGCTTTGGGCCATCCTTGACTGCTTTCCCAGGCCACAAGCAGGGAGCTGGATGGGAAGTGGAGCGGCCAGGACATGAACCGGTGCCTATATGGGATCCCGGTAGATACAACCATAGGACTTTAGCCACTAGGCTATCGCGCTGGGCCTAATAAATATTTTTTTAAAAGAAAAAAAAAGTGCACGAGTACATTATAAACTGCCAAGCTGGGCTGTGGCGAGGTTCTCACACCTGTGTTGAGGAAGGTGTTAATGAATGCAGTGTTGGCCATTCTAAAGAAGCATTGGGAAAGCACTCAGGTGTGGGGACTTATCCTGGCTGGGGAACATCCCGGCCTCCCACGTGCTGCAAGCCGGGCCAGGGATGTAGCCAGTCAGCCTCAAGAAGTTGGGGGCCTTAAGGTAATTTCCTCTGGACTCCAGCTTCCCGGACTCTAGACCCAGGGAAGAGGGCAGCCCTTCTGTACCGGCTCACACATTCCTGCCCCCTACACGCAGCCACAGACCCGCAGGGGCCTTTCCCGCAGCAAAGGCACAGGTGCCGCCAATGCGGAGCCAGCGCATCCTCGGGGCGGGGGGCGGGGAGAGTGCAGGCAATTGCACACGTGTTGCCCATGCACTCACGCTGCACACAAACCTGAGGGACACGACGGCGTACACACCCTCGCGCGCACACCCGCGTGCGCTCGCACCCCGTGCACACCCGCGCGCGCGCTCCCACCCCGCGCGCACCGCCGAGTGCCCAGGGGCGGGGCGCGGCGGGCGCGGCCGCTGGTTCCGGGCCAGGCGCGGCCGGGAGGGGGCGCGGCGAGGGCCACGGCCGCGGGTGCCCGAGTTGTTTGCGGGAGCCGAGCTGCGAGACGCTCGGAGGGAGCCGGGCCGGCCTGGGAGGCCCGGAGAGCGCGCACGCCGGATCACGCCCGGCACCTGCGAGCGGAGCGTGGTCGGGAAGCGCACCATGGACCCGAAGGCGGGCGGCGGCGGCGAGGAGGACGACTGCGCGGACTCCGGCGCCGAAACCGGAGGGTGAGCGGCGCGGGGCGGGCAGCGGGCAGCGGGTGCTCCGAGTTGCGCGGCGGCTCCTGCAGCCAGGGAATCCTCCTGATTCCAGCCATGGAGCTGGGGCCCCAGCGGCGGGACGGCGACACACACGGGTCTTCCCCTCTTGGTGGGATTCCCACCGCCCACCTCCTCCCGTGCTGTCCCGTGAGGGCCAGAACCACGTGGCCCGTGACTGCTTGGGGCGTTCCTCCAGCCCGAGGGGGAGGAAAGTGGACGGAATCGAGGTTATGTGTCCTACCACCGCAGACCCTCTTGTCCTCCCTTGTCACGTGAGTGCCAGGCCAGAGTACTGCCCCTTAACAGCATCGCTGGAAAGAAGCGATGCCCGTGCACTTGTTTCGACCTTGTGCGGGATCCGGGGTTCCGTTGGAGTGGAGCCCTGGAGTCGGGGTGCAGGAAAAGCAGAGTGGGTCACCTGGCACCCAAAAGTCATTAGGATGGTGTCTCCACTTGTTGTCTTTATTGTGGGTCTCCATCCTTTGCTGTGGAGGACACTACCTGCACTCTTCAACCCTCTCCAAACTTGCCTCCTAAGGCACCTGTCTGTGGGGAATGCGGTACAGCTGGTGCTGTGATGGAGCCCTGCTGATTGAAATCTGCTGTTGGCTTTCGTGGATTCGATTCTTCAAACCTTTGCAAGCAGATCAGTCCTTTACCGGTAACACTGTGTCCTTGCTTGGGACAAAGAGCAGGTTATCTTTAAGCAGATGAATGTCCTTGTAAAGGCGTCCACCCAGCTCCTATCTCTGAAGGACTTTCCATTGCAGAGTCAGCACCACAGTCAGGATGCAAGACTGGCCCAGGAGGAAAGGGTGTCTTTTCCTTTCTGGAGTTAGGCTTGGGAGGCCAACAGCTGCCCCAACTGCAGAAAGCCTGCCTCCTGGAAGGGCTGAGAGGATTTAGGCTAATCTTGGTGCTTGGCAACCAAGTGAGCCCAGGAAGAGCATCCAAACTCAGGCAAGTCTCACTGAACAACCTCCCTTTAGGCTTCCCAACTTCCCCTACTGCCTCCCTACCGTCAGCACTGCTAGCCCAGATCTGGGAGTTCCCATTTACCCTGTTATCCAAATCTGAGATTGTTCCTCATTTGTTGCAAAAATCAGTTATGATCCCGTAGGGGTAACCCGATTCCAAATACCCAACTCCCCTTACATTTTTCCACACTTTCTGGCAATTACATTGTATCAACTTTAGTTAAAGGTCCTTGGTCATTTTTTTTTTTCTGCCTCTAGCTACCTGGACCATGAAACAAGCAAGAAAGCAGAATTAACCAGCTCTTCCACAGCTGGATTGAGTAAAAGTGTTTACCAATCCGTCCGTGTTTAGTTTGTAGCATATCCCAAAACAGATATTTGTTTCCCAGGGTTGTGTCTTGAGGAAGAGGACTGGGGCTCTGACCTCTGGATGTCCATTTTCTGTTTCTGTCACCAGATTGTATTGTTGTAGGCAAACTGAATTGTCTCTTAAGCATTTCAGTTGCATCACTAGCATCTTTAAGCTAAAGGTAGGATGGCGTGCATTTCAACAAACATAGATCTGATGTGTGCTTCTTAGTCTTACATCTGCCATGCATTCCTGTGTCCCTTGAATTTTTGGATTAACTGTCAAACAAGCAAACAAACAAAAAATGCCGTTTGGAGTTCCTCTGTTTTTCCAGAGCTTGCTGTCTTTGTGTGCTCATCTAGCTTTTCGAATAATGTGCTACTTGTTGAAATTTCATGGAAAGCACAAAGAAAACTCAGTAAATGTTTGCTATCAGTCAGTCTCATTTTGTACAATGTAGATCTGACCCTGTCTGTTTCCTTTGGAAACTTTTTTTGCTTCTCTTACCTATAAAGTACACAGAAATTAATGTGGCCTCAAACCCCAGTTGAAGAGTTCCTTCTCTTTCTTGCCCTGCTTTCTCACCAGGTTCTTTGTGCTTTGTGCCTAGCCACACCCAACTTGTTCCCCCTTTTTCCTTGCCTTTGTTAAGCCATCCTCTTGCCCAGCTATGCCCTTTCCACTTGGCACACCTGTATCCAACAGGTGTAACTAACTATACTCTCCTTTCAAGAGTCAGCTCAAGTAATGCATCTACTAAGACAGCAATCTTAATTTGGGAATCCGTGAATTTTCTCAAGTTGTATGCAATATGACATGCTTTGTGAGTTTCTTGGGAGATGAGCACTTATTGTCTTTACTGATCGTATTCTTGAAGGGGTCTGCAATCTTTTCCTGGTCAGATTGAGGCAGAGTATGAGGCACCTCATTTTCATTGTGTGTCTGAGGTCATGAGAAATGTTCAGTAGATGGCCACAGCATTAGATGGAGCTCAGATGACTGTACAGTGACATTGCATTTTGTCTACCTGAAAGCGACTATTGAAGTCCTGGGAGAGCTTAATCCATTGAAAAGTAATAAGAAACAGTCACTTAGCTTTTGCATGAGCCATGTGTTCTAAGGTTTTGAGTCTTTTACTGACTCATTGAATCCACCAACACCTCCCAGCAGCAAGTTCTTAGCAAGACAAGCCCAGGGGAGCCAAGCATGGAAATACCAGGTAAAGGAGCTTGAGCTGCTGAAAGGGCCTGGGAATGAGCAGGCATGGAATCAGAGGAGGAAGATGGTGATAACACTGATGCCCAGAGAAGTTGTGTTTTTGGTTTTGGGAGGTTTTTCTGTTTTGTTTTTGAGAGGAGACTGAGAGAAAGGTCTTCCATCTTCTGCTTCACTCCCCAAGTTGCCACAACAGCCGGACCTGAGCCAATCCAAAGGCAGGACCCAGGAACTTCTTCCAGGTCTCCCACATAGGTGCAGGGTCCCAAGGCTTTGGGCCATCCTCCACTGCTTTCCCAGGCCACAAGCAGGGAGCTGGATGGCAAGTGGAGCAGCCAGGACACAAATCAGCACCAGTATGGGATCTAGCACGTGCAAGGTGAGGACTTTAGCCATTAGGCTATTGCACGGAGTCCCCAGGAAAGTTTTGAGAAAAGAAGGAAAACTCAACTATGCTACTGAGGGGTGTGAAAAGTCCTTTTTCTTAAAAAAAAAAAAAAGAAAAGAAAAAGGTAATAATGACAGGTTAGAGAGGTAGTCGGCAGTGAGGTAGTGAAGGCAGAAGTTGGATGGGTGGCTCCAGAAGGGAGTAGAAGAAGAAGGGAGCAAGTAGCTAGAGTGGAGGGTGGGGTACAGGATGGATTTCCTAACTGTTGGGGCTGAATGAATGGCCAGTGCTGATGGGAAGTAGTCTGTTAGAAATGGAGATTGGAGAGAAGATGATGGTCTGTACTGTCAGGCCTCAGGAAAGGTGGAAGCAGGTGGACTTGTGGTCACTGTGGCTGGCTCTGCCTTGGGCAAGAGGCATCTTCCCTCTCACAGCAGGGTGAGGGAAAGGAAGCTGAGGTTTCCATGAGAGGTCCATATGGCACTCTCCCAGAGGCCCCGAAGAGTGGAGATACGAAATGGTCATTTTGGGGAGTGTTAAGTGAGAGCAGGTTGAGATGAATGATTAGGAGTTGGCCTGACTGTTTTCCTGCAGCCCTGCTCAGTTGCCTAGAGTCAGACAGAGAGAGCCAACAGGCAGAAAGGATCGTCTGGGATTGGGAGTGGCGTGGCAGTTGTGGGGAAGGTGAACAAAGCATAGGAGCAAGGGCGGTGAGCACATTACTCAGGCTGATGTTCAGTCTTCTTGTTTATCCATTCAAGGGATGGATCTGAGGAACCCTGTGGGACTCAACTCCAGTGGGCAGAGTGTGCTGGTCATGATGAAAGCCACAGTCACAGGAGCAAACCCATTGCTATCTGCAGGAGTGCACTCAAGGCTCCTCCTCTGTGGGATGGAGGTGCTGGCACTAGTACCTGCCTCACAGGGTTGTTTTGAGCGTTCAGGGAATCTGTAGAACAGTGCCTGGCATATGTCAACCTTCAGCCCATTGTTATTTCTCATTGTACCCTTGTTATTGTTAAAAAGAATACTGCAAATGATAAGGTTTATACAATGAAAATGATGAACTCAAGACCACAGCTTCTTTATAGTCATAATAGATGCTCTGATGCATTTAAATACCCCAGGCAGTTTGACCTTCATTCAGAACACCCAGCTGACTGTAGGACATCCCTCAGTACTGTTATTATTTTACAGATAGAGGAATGTGGATTGGGGTGAATGGATTGAAGGGAAGTCCTGGTCTCCAGCATGCTTCCCATGTAGTGCTATTATCTGTTGTGTAGCAGTGTGATCTGCTTAATTCTCATTTTCTACTCAGCCTGTTGTGTTTGAAATACCGCCTTTGCTATCTAATCGACCCATTGCAAGCCAAGACAAGAAGCAAATGTGTGGTCTTCTGTGATCATGGATATCATAAAAAACAAACACCCAAATTTCCTAAAAGTTCTTGGAAGCAAGGTTGTGCTTCTTTGGACTTTGTTAGAAACTGACAGGTGGGATGATGAAGTGGTAAATTAGCTGAAGAAATAAAATCCCTGACCAGAGGTACAGGGAGTTCCTTGTACGCTCAGAACAAGCCAGTGCTTGATAAAGACTGATACATCAGTGATGAACAGTCCCAGCAAACTTGATGGGTTGTTTGAACTCGGCAGTTTGGTCTGGCATTGATGGACCCACACTTCTGTGTCAGCTCTCGCTGAGCTGCTTCTGCTTATGCAGCGGTCGTGCCAAATTCTCTGTCTCTATGTGACCTCCAACTGATGTTTTGTCATGACCCAAGAGATCACAAACAATTCATGGGCTAGAATTAAGCAAGTGAAGGGGAAAGGATATAATGGACTCAATTTTAGAATGGAACTTATTAAGCTACCAGGAGGCATGTGATGCAGAAGATGAGATGATGGAGAACTCTGTTAGCTGTCTGTTCAGGATGGAGTTGGTTAACCCTGCACTCCCAGACATTTAATTCAGTGTATAGAGAGTTAGCAGATGGAGCCCCCGGTGCCTTGTGCTGGCATTTTACAGAAACATCAAAACCTTTCTGGCAGAAATGCCAAGATCAGTTCTTATACCATGATTTACTTGGAAGAGAGAATTTGAAAGCATGTTCATTTTATATATGAAAGCACTTCTAAAAGTGGGTAGGCAAATGGGGTTAAAATATTTGTATCAATGCAAAAATACATGGGGGCTTCAGAAACTTTATAGAAATTGTGTACTGTGAGAGATGTGTATTATGAGAAAAAAAAACTGTGGTTTACCTTCTGAAATGTTTTGCACCAAAGTAAACTTATCTTTAAATTCCATTTTGCCATGGACTTTTTGAAGCCCTCTCCTTAACTTCAGGTGTATGAAAACATATACTGGGATAATTATGCTCCTCTGTATCATGTGTCCAAAATTTTTCACCCTAAAATTCCCTACTTCACCTTTTGTATGTCATTGTGAGAAGGTTGATTCTAAAGCAGAGTGAGTCAGGAAACTTCTTAGCATGTGAGACCATGAAACAAAGATCTGGGAAGGTACCAACTGCTATTCTTCACTCTAAAAATGCTGGCATATTTCTGCTCCTCCCGGGAATCCTAATCAAGTATCTGGCTGTTCTCTGAAATCATTTGAACCTATTTGTGTGCAAAACCGTTTCCAACTTTATAGTTTGTCTTCTGTGTAATTTCCAGTAAGTGATCCTTTAGGGTTATTTGGAGTATGTTAAAAGTTAGAAAAGTGTGCAGACCCTGACTCCGTCTTTATTCTTAGTGATGATAATTTTTTTCAAGGGCAAGGAAATAAAAGATGGCTGTGTTCGTAAATATCTCATTGCCATGTGCTTTGCAGAAATGAGCAATCGGGAACAATCATATAGCCAAGCAGAGGGAAGTAGTTGAATATATTATAGTGCATCGCTTCATCTAAAATGATAATGGCAGGAACTCGGCGTCAGCTTGTTACGATGGTGTGAAGTGAAAAGAGCAACTCGGAATTGTGTCTCTGCCATTGTGGCCACCAAGTGCCAGTAGCAGAAGCTTCCAGTCGGAGGCCAGAGGGCAGTGTGAGATGAGTGGTGACCCTTTTGGCTGTTTGGTTTCTGTTTTGACGGTGAACAGGAATGGAAGTTGGGCAGCAGAATGGGGCAGAGACCATCTGCCCTGGAGAGAGGGGTTTGTGTTTTCCACTAGGGAGCTTGAATTTCATCCAGAGAGACAGAGAGAGAGGGAGGGAGGGAGGATTAGATTTGTGCTTTACAAAGATTGGCTGCTGTGTGGAGAAGGAATTGGAGCAGGACAAGTGTGACTGTTGAAGACCGACCAGTTGGCAGGGCTTGCCCAATCAGTGCCTTTAGTTTAGTGGAATCGTGGAGAGGGGTGTCAGTTATGCTAACGCCTGTCCTAAAATATGCATTAAGACTCTGGAACTATGTTTCCAATGTCAATTTCTTCCTGCATTTGTATCCATCTGTACGCAAGTGTTTAAAATGTATGCATATGTGAACCCCATCTGCCTCAGGAGTACTTGGAAAGTTCTCTCTGAAAACACTGGCAAGTCTTTAATAATAAAAAAAGAAATGGTAATGTTGTCTACTCTTAGTGTATATTGCTCTTGAATAGTCATGGTGTTTCTTTAAAGTTTGGCCATCTTAAAATGATCAGATTGTCATGGGATTGTTTTGCTGTTGAATCTGCCACCGTGGGTGATTGTTGAGCTTTCTTTTCATTTATATCTAGTTACTTACCCAAGTATTGTCCCAAAGTCTACGTATGTCTTGCCTGGTTCCAGGCAGAGTTTAATGCATCAGTGCTGGCACTTCTGCCTTCTCCATGTCAGCACACCCCCAGCCAATCCAGCTCCCTGCCAGCTCCTTCCTTGCTACCCACCCTGCACATTTAGTTCAAATCCTTGCTATTTCTGCCCTCTTGACTCTGTTACAACTAGTATTACTGTAGTTTTCTGATGAGCCAAATAAAAAACCCATATATATATATAGACACATGTATATACATATATATATACACACACATACAGATACACATATATATGCATACATAATATAAATGCATATTGTAACCTATCAAGGAATGTGCAAATATTAGTAGCTGTTATTCTTTCTGGTTTGAAAAGTCAATGATTACTAAAATTCTGTGACTACTAAAGTATTGTCTTTGAAAAAGAGAAAACCACGTGCAATCTCTTCCCTCTTGCTCCTCTACTAATCTGTCTGCAGCATGCTGTCTGGGACTGCAGGCTATATTAACTAACAAAAGGCAAGCTTCTGATGGATTTTCACAAAGAGGCTTCCTATGTGCTTTTTTATGTGGGAAGAACCTCAGTGGATGATTCAAGAGAGACAACATGAGACTAAGAAGTTTGTGTCTATAAAATTAAACATAATTTAAGCAGTTTATTTGCGTAACGGTATCCCCTAAGTACCAAGCCACAATAAATCCCTAGGGGCCCAAAATGATTAATTTCTTGCCAGGAACAACTTTGGGAAACTTGGGGAGGGGAATAAATACTTTCCATACAGAGTTCCTTGCCGGAGAGTCACCTAAGCTGCATGAGGAGGAGAGACACTCAGTGGAGATTAGGCAAGGCTGAGGTCTGGCCTGATTCCCATTCTCACAGTGGCTGGGTGCTGCCAGCTGATATTTTAGCATGGAAACTGAATGGTCCATTTCACCCCAGCCCTGCCTTTTCCTTTTCCCTATTGCAGTACACATCCTGTTCCTCTAGTCTCCAGCAAGGACTGGAATCAGGGGAAACCTCTTTGTGCCTGGGAGTTTCCTGCTGATTGGCCATGGCTTAAATGTGGAGGCCTTCATGGCCGCAGGCATCCCTGCTTATATCAGCTGAGAAATATCTCCTTTGGTGTGGTGGCAGCATCTGAAGGGTGCTGCTTTGCAGAGGTTTAGTCTGCTGAGGAGCCAAGGATCCGTTGAAAATGTTGAGCCTTCCCCCTTGCAGATAGAAACAACCATTCAAAAATTTGCTAACCGCATTAGATGGCTCAAGAGCTCCTGGACCCCATTGGGAGGGTTCATGGAGCCCACTAAAAGGGCTCAGGTTTCTAAAATCCCTTTAAAATTCTGCTTTCACATCCAGATGTCTTTTATCTTGCACAAAATGAGCCTCATACTAAGGTTTTCATTTGTGACATTCCCTTACCAGTTAAAATGCTACTAACCATTGATTTTTCAGAATTCTAGCTTGACTAAATCATTTAGATAAGGGAAGATGGTGGATAATCCTACTAACACTAAGGTCTTGTGTTTCAGGTCTGACTACAGCCACCTGTCCTCCACCAGCAGTAAGTATCTTAAATGTCTTGTGGCATTATCTTAACAGACTCTCCCCCTCTCCCTCTAGGACTCAAAGGCAATACATATAGTACATCCTTTAATAGTGAGTAAGAATCAGCAAAGATACTGTTGCCAAAGAATGTGATGTAGGATGCTCTAACTATGGCAGTTAAAGCTCTTCCTGGAGGATGTGTTTGTACCTTGATTTTGTGCTAGAAGTACTGTTGCTTTTCCCATGGAAACTCAGCTTGCGGAATGTAACCCAGGCATCATAAGCCCTTCTAATTCTCTGAAGGACCTGGGATGGCTCATTCGTTGAACAGACTGCTTTCCAACGCCTACTGCCTGCAGGCCAGTGGGAAGCTCGGAGCACAGGTGCTAGATCTATACGGTGCTCTCACTCCTCTGTTGGACATTTCCTTCCCTTTTATTTCTACAAACAGAATTTTTTTCCTTAAATGGAGGGAACATCTCTCTGCACCAAAATTCTGCAAAATGTGTTCAATAGCAATTCCAAACACAAGTTGTAACGAGGGGTTTATATACATTTACATGCAGCTAAAATGTTTGGGTTCAATTTTATCTGTCCATCTTCCTTGATCCGGCTCACATGTACTGTACTGTACTGCTTCCGGTAACTGTGTAAGACCAGTGGCTTCACTTTCTGCCTTCAAGTTACCCATGGTTCAAAAATATTAAATTAGAAAATTGCAGAAATAAACAATTGATATTTTAACTTGTGTGAGTAGGGTGATGAAATTGCTCATTTCCCTGTCCCATCTCATTTTGCCCGGGGTAAAAATCTTCCCATTGTCCCATGCTGGTTCCTAGGACCCATGTCAGTTACCAGATGGACAGCCAGGGTAGTGCAGTGCTTGCATCGCCCAGGTACCTCTTATTTTTCCTAATGGTGGCCCCAAAGCATGAACATAAGGATGGTCATTTTATTAGTGTTTATTGTTACAATTGTTCTGTTTCACTGTTATTGTTAATATCTTAATGAGTTTATGTGACATTTTACTGTAGGCATTTTTGTAGGATAAAACATAGCTGACAGGGTTCAGAACTGAGATTTTAGTTATCTACTGGGAGTCTTAGAACACATCCCCCTTAGATAAGAAGGAAACAACTGGGTATGGTTTTTAAAAAATGATTGGTGGGGCACAGGCATTGCATCCTAAGCTGCCACTTAAGATGTTCACATACCAGAGTGCCTATTGAAGCCCTGGCTGCTCTGCTTTCCCATCCGGCTTTGAGTTAAAGCACCTGGGAGGCAGCAAAAAGGTGATGGCCCAAGGACCTGGGGCTCCTGCCACTCCCATGGGAGACCCACACAGAGCTCCTGGCTCCTGGATTTGGCCTGCTGAACCTGGCTGGTAGCCTGACTCTCCCTCCTTGTTTATGTGCATCTCTACCTTTGCTTGTCATTCTGCCTTTCAAATACTAAATGTTTAAAACAACACTCTGAACACTAAAAAGGTGTTTATATTCGATATTAAAATGAAGTACAAATGTCATTCATGAGAAATTATGTTTCATATCTTGAAAGGCTTTAGAGTGATTGAAATGACAACATGCACATCCAGGGCTGTTCAGACTACTTGAACATTTACTTGACAATAACAAAAGATAGCCGCCTTATAATAAGAGTCTTGATTGTTTGAATCAGTAAATACTGACTTGTTTTTGCCTTTTGCAACTCTGCTGTTAAACTCTCAGTTCTAAACAGTTCCCAAATGGAGGGACACTTAACTGGATTATTCCATTGACTGAGGCCCTGGCTTCGTTCTACTCTGTGAGAGGAGACATGGGGAGAGCTGCAGATCAGGAATTGTCATTAAGTGTCAAATTATGTTTAGTTATTAGTACAGCTGCAGTAAGGTTTTGAACATTCAGCCCATGGAGACAACCCCCCTCCTGCCCATTGCCCCTTGGTTTATTAAGAACCATTAGTAATAATGAGAATAATGCTCTGGCGGTTCACACTGCTCCCAGCAGCTTTGCATGCCTGTAAGCACAGAAAGCTCCTTGAACTAACTCCTCTCTCGCTCTCACTCTGCCACAGCAGTTCTCATTCCACTCTGGCCCAGAGGCTACATTTCTTGAAGAATGATTTTTCTAAAACACTTGCCTGAAGCTTTCGCTCATTTTGCAACTCTCAGATCCGTCCTCTGGGTCACAACAAAGCACCTCTCTTATCAGTGAAATGCGTAATTTGGTTTGGGATGTTTTTCCTCTCCATTATTTTAATTGCCCATCTCCAAGTTGGAATTCCAGCTATTGCAGCTGGGGATCGATACTCTCTTATTGCTCTTCCTTTCCACTTCCAATAGGTGGTAGTTCCCCATGGCTCTCCAGGGATGGGCCCCTGGCTGAGAGACCAGGAGCATCTCTTCCAGTCAGGGAGAATAGTTGGTTACATTTAATAGTAAAAAAAAAATAAAATAACAGTTACACAAGTAGAAACCTGTTTTCCTCTAACTTTACAAAAGTCTGTTTTTTAAGTTCAGGTCCTCGCTCTGCTGTGTCCTTCTTGGCTGCTGTCTACCACCTTCAGGGTTGTGTCACATGCATGAGATGACTGCCTTCTTTGCAGCCATCACAACATTGTTCTCAGCTGGAAGAAGGCATAGAAGTCCCTGCCCATTAAGTTAGTCTCACTTTGTAAATGATTAATTTCTTTATCCCTATTGGCCAGTTCTTCAATATGGATCCCTCAGTTCAAGAGAGTCTGGAAATTGTTTTCTATGCCACCACTAGCATGGCTGTGTTATTAAGGAGAGAGAGGACAGGCTTGCTAGTGCTGCTGGATTCTGTATGGCCAGTGGATGATGTTACACAGCTAAGTGGCCCTTGACAGAAAGACAGGTCTCTGCCCCTGCTGAAGCAGAGGTCTGACTGTGATGATAGAGAAAGGCGTTTTCCTTGTCCAGCTGGGACATCATGCTCAGCACTGGGTGGAGCATGGGCTACCAAGGGGTTGTTCACCCCCAAGGGTTCCATTTCAGAGTCTCTCCACTACTGCAGGGATTGTGTGCGAGCAGCAGATCCCAGGGCTGCCCTTCCACTGCCTTGACCCAGCCCCTGCTTTGGGTCCCAGAGCAGCTCCCCATCTCATTATCATTCTGCCATGTCCTCAGCCTCTCTCAAGGGTGCGATTCCTTTCTGCACGATTCCTGACTCTGGCTTGGGATTTGAGTGTTGATTCCACTCATTCACTATTAGGAAAGCCATGTGCCCGTGCCTGCCAGTGGTTCTTACTCACTATTCACACCCATTCCTCTGTGTCCACAATCAAGGTGCACAAAGGTTGCCCTTGCAGCCAGCCTTAGTGTCCACTTTGCTGACCATATGTCTGCAGGTGAATTGGACCAAGACTCCCTCCAAAGAGCACCAGTTACTCTACGGAGTTGTCTGTCTCCTCTCAAAATGCAAAGATCTGCTTCCCCTTCCTGCTGCTCCTCGTCTCCATGGGAGGAAACGGGAGTCATCCCTAGAGGAAAGGCACAGGAGCGACGGGGTGCGACGTCAGGTATCCTGGTTCTAATCCTGCTGTCACCATGAACTAGCTGTGTGTGCTCTTGGGCCACTTGCTTACCCTCTCTGGGCCTTGTTGCCTTCTCTGTGGCATCAGGCAGTTGGGCTGGATGACTTCTGGAAGTTCTCAGATGTAAAGATATGTGTTAGGAACTCCTCTTGTTATGTTCTTAGCTTTTTATCTACAAGTCACATTGCATCTGTTAAAAATAATGTAAAATTTAAAAATATATATATTAGAAGGAGTAACTTCCCTGAAAAGAGAGAAAAGGAGGAGGTGAAGAATCAGTGCCTTTCCTCTCTATTGTCTCATTGGCCCAGCATAAAGATCCTGTGGCCTGGACATCCACTCTGGTGGCCTCTAACCTCACAGCCACAGCGCCTCACCATCCATGCAGGCCTCTCTGAATGGTCAGAGCCTGTGAGTCAGCAGGTAGAGACACTGGGGTGAGAGGCGACAGCAAAGTCAGGAGCAGGCCTGGGACATGGGAGCAGGTCTCATTCCCACCCCCTCTGGGACCACGGAAGCAATTCTGCAGACATGGTCTGGAGCTGTCCCACTCTGGGAACCGAGCGTCTGGGGATTCTGGGAGGTGTGATCGGGTTTCATTTGTGTGAATTTTGTCCAGTTGCAACTTGCCCCCTGACCTTTTTATGACAAGCTGGGCAGCTTCATAGACAATAAGTCAGACTGTTTTTTAAGGAAGATCATCAAGCCACTGTGTACAATTTGCATTCATAAGTGGGAAAGAAATTTCTGAACAGGACAAAAGGAAAACTAATTATGGGAGGGGAGAGAATCAGCCATGCCAGGTAATGCTAATGAAATCTCCGTCATGCTTAATTGAATATTTCCATTCCATGAATCATAATCACACTTAGAAAATTATCCTTAGGAAGTCCTGGGAGCCGGAAAGTTATGTTTTTAAGGAAAGAGTGGCATATCTTAATGATACCTAACCCTGGGGTGAGGGGTGGGGAACTCCGGTAGGAAATCATCACAGAATTAACTTGTTTTCTCCATTTGAGACTAGCCTGTAAAACCCTGTGCTTGGTGGGCTAAGGCTGTCCCTAAAGCTGAGATTTCCTTGTCAACACTCAGGGTAACCATGAACGTCACTGGGTATTTCACACACTGGCCGTCATGGCAGGTGTGTGTCCCTCTAGAGCACAGATGGTGAAAGATCAGTACATGTGGCACAGAGGGTCTCTCCCAGCCCTGGGCAGTACACTGAGGAATTCTCTGCATATGTGACAATTAGGGGAAAATGGCTATGAACAAGGGGCTGTGCTGATTGGAGCTCTGGAAAAGTGCCAGAAGAACAGAAAAAGCACCTATGATGAATGAGCAGTGTCTCTGAATTTGTATTTCAGCCCACCTGGGCCTCAGTATCTTCTGTATATCTTGCGCTCCATTCCCTGGCCTCCTAGCCTATCCTTCTCATGCCCCAGGTATCTTGCCTGCCTCTGG